CAAGGGAGAGTACTGATACTGTGGCACCTGGAGGCCAAAACTGAAGTCACGATCACAGGGCCAAGAGTCTGGAGCCAGGAACCAAGATCAAACAAAAGCAAGCCCAGCTAGTGCAGCGAGTCCAGAACTATTGTCTTTAGTGCCTGCTAAGGTGCAAAGTTCCCCTTACGGTCTAGCAGTGATAGGCATGTCGTGGCCCCCTGATCTGGGAGTTTCAATGGTGATGTGAGCAAGCAGCTTGCAAGACCAGTATCAGAGGTCACAGCTTAGCTCCGACAAAAGTGCAGCTGATGGAGTCCACTAGAGGCTGCCAGTGTTGGTGAGGCTGCAGTACAGCGCCAGTGGCTCGCTACCAAGGAAACCACGTGGTCATCCCAGAGCTTGTCTTGGGAAGACAGGGTGGTTCAGAGGTTCTCTGGGTGAAGGCCACTCTGATCCCCATTCAAAGTCTGATTCTTCTCATCAATATCGATGTAACTCAAGAAAGCAAAGGTTATGACTGTACTAAAATGGGCTTTGTTGGAGTGTGAAGTTAGACCAAGGAAATATCATATTCCGTGCTATATTGGGGTCCCAGAGCATTGTGGAGACTTCTTTGAAAGGGTAATGGAAGCCAGATTGCAAAAGAGACAAAGTTTAGGACTCCTGAATTCAAGGTAATCATAAATAAGAAAGGTTTGACCAGCCACCAGAAGATTTGACAACTAGGCTTTGCAGGGAGAAGAGTGCAATGGCTCAGTGCAGCCCCCATGCCGACCCAGATCTCCAGGGGACATGAACATTCTAGAATGGGAAGGGCTAGGTGCTAATAGTAAAAGAGCTCTCCTATTAGGGGCCCAGGTGGCTTTGCATGGGATCTTGCTTCAAAAAAATTGCAATAGGAGAAACAGACCTTTCCCTATCAACTGGGGAGACCTGGCATTGTAGATTCGACAATATGCAAGAAGTTGCCACCAGGAGTTATCAGAAGCCAGGAGTAAGTCAGCACCACCAATGGGGTGACTAGAGGACAGGATTGGAGACACGGGTCTGCTGGTTTGGGAACTTAGGCAAAGAGTTGATGTAAGAGATAGTCAGGAACCTAGAAGTGAGCAGAGATGATCACAGTGGCAGTAGGATGGACAACTGCCCCCCAGGCACTGGAAAATAAGGGCTGTCTTGAGGGTGGTTGCAACAGAGTATGAACAGCTCAGGGATCTTAACCAGTCACTGGAACAATGTGCAAGGCAAACACCGGCTAAGAAGGTGGAGAGAACAGGCCCAACGGGAGCAAAGCGAAGGCCTGCTAAGGGAAGTCCATCCCACAAAAGGGAAGTGGGGGGCTCTCCGAGGCCCAGAGCAGGACACAAAAGAGCAACCCTTTCCAGGTGGCAGCTCCCCACCTCTGCCCTGCACTGCTCACCCCCTGCTGCTGCCCTCACCTCCTCCAACTACCCCACCCCTGCCCGGATAGGCCAAGCAGCTCCCAGCTCTTTCCCAATATCTGGGCAGAGCTGTTGGGACAAAGGAAGGGGAGAAGTGGACACAGCAGGTCCTGGCTCTTGAGATCTGCAGATATGAGTTGCTTTTGCAATAGCCGTAGGTCATTGTGCAACTCACTGGTCTGCGGACTGCCAACTCCTGGACATCTGTAAAATAGAGACAGTGATGATGCCACTCAGCTCGCAGGGCTGCTGTGAGGTGCAGACGAGAGAAGGGACTGAGAGTATTCCACAAACGCTAAGGTGATAGATGTGTATAGCGTTATGTGTATCGGTGGCAGGTTTCCAGAAGGCAGGTGGGGAGAAGAGTGAGTGAGTCACAAAGAGGAAAATTGCCCCACTTCTTGAAGGGAGTTCTCAGAAGTCCAGGGCTGGGCGGCTCAGGTTACGGGGCAGGCATAAATAGTGGGTGCCTGCCAGGCAAAAGCTAGTTTGCCTGGAGCTCCTGGGGCCCTAGCAGAAGTCACCTGTGAGTGTGTCCGTTCTTGCCTCTCATTTTGTTTTCCCCCTGTCCTGTGAATATCTCCCCGCCCATCTGGGCCGTTCATCCTACTGGCGTGGAGAAGGGGAGGGTGTGGGCGGCTGTTCTGGTCTGGGAGGGGTGGGCGTGGGAGGCGGGGAGCAGTGGGGTAACGGGATGCTCCCCTGCCCCTCATTCAGGGCCTTGGCTCAGTGGGAGATTTGCTTTCTGAGCTGGGGGAGGGTGGAGGAGTGGGATGTGGCTCATACCCAGACCCCAAGCACCACTGTGTGGAAGCCTCGGGTGGGAAACGTGATTCCAACTACTCTCTTGGCTCCTTCTCTGTCCCTGATTGCTTCAGAAAGGACAGTGGGGGACAGACTAGGTGTTCACAGGCCTGGGTTCTAAACCCTCCTGGTGCCAACTGCGTATGGCACACGAACAAACCTGTTTCTCTCATAGCCTCAAGTCTATACTTACAAAATATATTTCCTGGATTAGGTCTCTGATTTCCCAACCAATGTTTGTAAAGTCTTACTGTGAAAGCTTAGCATAAACTGGACCCTGCCTGGGTTGAGGGGGCCCGGGCTCTGCCCACTCCATCCACTGCCCCAGCTAAGACACCTTGTCTGAATCCTGGGTCCAAAAGCCTAGGAGTCTGCTCTCTCCAAGGGTCCTTCATGCTACAGTGGGTGGTGGTGCCTGCTGTGCCATCTCGAGCTGGCGGGCAGCGTGCCCACTGCCTTCCATTCTTCCCCCGAATCAGACAGGGCCCCAGGGTCGCTCTGGCCTGGGTCTGGCCCTCGGTGCTCACGACCGAGCCTCTGCCAGAACAGGGGCTACGAGGCAGCTGCTGCAGGCTGTGAGCTCACCTGGGTATTTCTAGAGACTCCCAGGATACCTGGAGAAGTGGTGACTTCAAAATTGAAAGAGGCTAGTGCGAAATAGGGGTCGTCCACAGCTCAGAAGCACCAGCAGTCGGGAAGAGGGCACTTCTCTGGCCAGGAAGCCCCTCCCCTAATCACCACCCCAGCTGGCCTGGGGACCCCCCTCTTCTTTGCACAGGGCCTTCCAGCTTTGTTCCCAGCATCTACGATTCCTAGCAGCTCTTCTCACTCATAACTTTACAGTTTCTCTTTGAGAGGAAAAATGCCCGACACAGGGAGTGACCCAGGTCCTATATCCACGCTGACCTCAGTTCCTGTGAGCCTCTCGGATGGTAACTGGATGCCCGACTAGATAGTTTCCCTCATTTCCCCCCAAAATTAGCCTTCCACCTCCCTGAGCCCTCCTGGCATGTCCCTTCCCCCTCTTTTCCAAGCCGTCTCAGGTGGTCTGGGAGGAACCACAGGTGTCTCAGGTCTCTCTGGCTGCTACTTTGGTATCTCTGATGCTCAACTTTCCCTTGGGTTCCCTCTGGGACTTTTCTCATGGAGACAGCGTCTGGGCCGGCAATGGCAAATCCCCCAGCAAACACGCAACCGCACTCCCAGCCGTGCTCGGGACGTCTCTAAGACATCACTAAGCATTCAGGACTCTGGCTCATTTTCAGACCAGCATTGTGGGCACCAGCGCTGGGCCGTGTAAGGTGGCAAGTGAGAAGAAACAGACTTGCCTTGTCCCAGCTAAGCCAACGGCTGCAATGGCACAGACAGAGAGAGTGAGGTCCGGGGAGGGGAGGGGTCCTGCCCAGAGGCACTCATTGAATCCTTCCTGCTGTGACAGATGGCCTCAGTGAGGAATGCCACCTCCTAGCCACCATACCAAAGGTAGTGGCCCAAGGGAAGGCACAAGAAAGGACATGGGTCATTTGGGAATAGGGAGATGTTGCTGTCAACCTGTATCAGAGCTCCAGCTGGGTAACTCATGCCCTCCAAGGCCAGACCATGTGCCCACCTTGTCCTTAAACTGCTTTTGGAGTCCTGCTGGCTCAGGGCCCCACAGCAGGGAAGAGAGAAGGTGGGAATGGGAGCATCTTCTGACCTCCAAGAACTGGGCCAAGCCCTAACCCATGTCCTTGAGCAGAGAGCATGTCCTTTCTCTCTCTATTCACCTCCCCAGGCCATGCTGCTCCTTCTCTCGGCGCTGGTCCTGCTCACACAGCCTCTGGGGTACCTGCAAGCAGAAATGAAGACCTATTCCCAGAGAACAGTGGCCAACGCCTGCACCCTGGTCATGTGTAGCTCCGTGGAGAATGGCCTGCCTGGTCGCGATGGACGGGATGGGAGAGAGGGCCCTCGGGGCGAGAAGGGGGATCCAGGTAGAGCGGGACTACGGGCTTGTCCTGGCGGGGCGGGTGGACATTGGTATTGCAGCTGACCCGGCAGCTCTGGATGCTCTGCGATGGAAGGCTTGGAGATGGGCTTCCTCCTACCAAGGGGGTGGGTTTCCCCCTGACCTTCAGCCTGTGCTGCTCCACCAGGTGGCCAAGGAATGGCTGTGCTGAGCCCCCTGTGCCTCCCTCCTTCACCCAACTGCCCTGACCTCTCCCTGGGATCCCAGGATCCCTCCCATCCCAAGAACAAGCAAATAGTAGATAAATTACTGATATTTGGGACCTTGTAGAATCTGTGCCAGCAGTTAGCAGTTGTTCATTCTGATTAAATGATGCCTATGCAGGGTGTTAAATATTTTTCATATTTAATTAAACTGCACTGAATGAAGGGTGGGAAAAGATGAGGTTCCATGGCTCCAAACTCAGGCCTGATCAAAAGGATGTGCCCTAATACATTACAGGGGGAGAAAGGGAGCTCACATTTCTTTGTCCAGCCCTGCTCTTGGACATTCACTTGAGTAGTTCATTTACTCCACCCAAAAGTCTTGCAAGGGACATATTAATCTTTGACAGGTAAGAAAACTGTGATGCAGAGAGCTAAACAGCAAGCCATCTAGAAGGCAGAAAGGACATGGGTGTCTGCATTAGGCAGGTCTAGGCTCGACTGCTAGTTTCATCTGCACACCTGGGACCCTGGGGCAAGCCACTCAGTGACACTGAGTCTCACTTTGCTTATCTGCAAACAGAAATAATATCAACCACCCAGAGATGAATAATTGAGCCAAAGGCTTTATTTTTTTATTTAATCTTCAGGACCAAGTTGCATCTTCCTGTTGTGCCAAATAGGTGAATTCTCCTGAGGTTACCAGAGGTACTGATGAATAAGGGGTTTGTCCCTGGAAATACTGTCGCCCACCCAGGGGGAGAGGATCTGGGTTGGATTGGCAAGAAAGGAGAATTCGATTAACCAGCACCATGAAGCAAGGGGCCACCAAGGCACCAGGCCAGGGCTTCAAAGGGATCAAATATGCTTTAACTTTCTGGAGCTGGCACTTTGTTTGAGGAGGAAGGAAGCTAATGACATTTAAGCTGGAAAGATTAAGCAACATCCCTAGGCTTTGTGGGGTAAGGGGCAGGTGAGTATCTGTCTGCACCTTACTGGCAGACAGTGGCTCCCAACATGAATGAGACGGGGCTTGGGGAACACCACCCAGGGGTGAGCTCAGAAGAGGCGTGGGATTCGCCACACCAGTTCTGAGATTCTCAACTCGCTCGGGCTCCCAGAGGGGCCCTGGATTGAATCCCAGGGGGCCTCTCCCACAGTAGCCCTCAGAGCTTGCTGCATGGAACGTGGCGGAGACCTCCCTCTCCTGTGCACGTGCCCACCCCATGCACATCCCAGGCCTGGCTTTGGGTCCCCATTCAGAGGACCGCGCACAGTGGGGCTGAGGGATGAGGCTCTCCTCTGCTGTCAATTCCAGTCACTCGGCCATTACGGGTCTGGGAATGTCGTGGGGAGCTTGGGGCATCCTGACCCAAATAGGTCTGTGTGGGGCCAAAGTCTGCACTTGTGACAACCTGCAGACATTGAAGCATGTGGTCCCCAGAACCTGCTAAAAAGAAAATGTGGGCCTGAGAGAAGAGACCCTTGAGCAGGGGTGGAGGGTGGAGCTGGGGTCACGGTGGTGATGCCCCAGACATGTCATGAAGGGCAAACAAGACCCAAATCCTGGCTTTGGGGGGACAACTCCTTATTCCTCAGCACCCCCTGCATTCCTGCCCAGACAGACCCAGCAGCAGGGGTGCTCACCTCCCTCGGATAAAGCTCCACACCTCACAGCAGCCCTCAGCCTGGCAGGACCGTTCCCCACCCCTGCCTGCTCCTCTGACCTCAGGGCCTCCCACTCGACTCCAACACGCTGGTTGTTGCCGGTCCCTGACCACACTCGGGCCCTCCCTCCCCAGAGCCTCGTCATTTGTTCTCACAGACGTTCCTGAGGCTCATTCCTCATCTCCTTCGGGCTTTGCTCTCAGACCACCTTCTCGGTGGGGCGTCCCCTGTTACCTTCCTTAGAACAGACCCCACTGTCCAACACGCTCTGTGTTTTATTTTTTCTCAGTGGCACTCAGCATTGTGAAATACATCATATGTTGTACATTTGAATTTCCTATTACCCGTTTCCATGCAGTAGAGTTGAGGCTCCAGGAGGGAGAGATTTTTTGTCTGCTTTGTTCACTACTTTATTCCCAGCATTTAGGATAGGACAGGCTCCGTAGACAGTGCCTGGTATGTAGGAGAAGTGCAGTAAATATTTGTGGAATGAATGAATAAATGAATGCAAAATGGAAGGAGAGAGGAATTTCAGTAGCCAAGGTGGCCAAAATGCCAGGCCATAAAGCTTTGCTTCAGGTGACACTAGGGTCCAGGGCTAGGTCTCTGGGGACACTAGAATACAAAATGAGTGCTTTGGAAGGCACAAGTTCTGCTGCTGAGGATGGCGCCCCTATCTCTACCGCAGAGCTCTCCTGGCCTCGATGGTTTGTGCACCAAGAATGGGCAACCTCTAATGCTCCCTTCTAGAGAGTGACTTTCCTCTTTTGGGCCATCTGCCTGCTGCAGCCTGGCCAAGGTGAGGCCCACACGAGGCTCAGCCTGTAGGTGTGGGAAGTGCTTCCATTTCATCCCTAGTAACTAGTGTAAACAGCAGCAGGGCACAAGGCCTGGTGTTCCACTGGGTATGAATGGAACTCAGATGCCTCCAGGTGGTGGTGCTGCTGGGATATGCCAGCACGGAATCTGTCATCCACCCAGCAAATTCACAGTCACCCCCACCACAACCACACTCTTGACTCAGGAAGGCCTGGCCTCTCCTGTCACGAGAGCATGGTTCCCAAGTCTGAAATGTCACCTCTCTCTGCAAGTCACTCTAAATTCTCCTCACCCTTCAAGTCCCACTTCCTCCTTGAGGAAGACGGCTCCGAGTGTGTGTGTGTGTGTGCTGGGGTTGGAGTGTGTGCTGTGATGGGACAAGGGACATCTCACGCATTGTCTTCCTCACCTGTCACCCTGTCTCACAGTTTATCACGAGTCCTTTGTAGAACAGGACCTGAGGCTGACACTGGCATCTGGCCTGTTGCTAAGCATAGAGTAGATGCTGCAGAGATCGGTTCTTAGTGAACAAATGATGAGCGAATGGACAAATAACCGAATGAACTAGTTAGCACCAACTGTCCGGTGTCCTTTCTGATACCAATGTTGGCTCCCCTGATACATATAAGGGGAAAGCAGGAAGCCCACAATCACAGGTAAGCACTGGCAGGTTGCCTGCTGTCACAACTGTGGCTCTGGGGCCGGGAAGGAGCACTGCATGGAAAGTCAGACAGGGCTTGGCCCACGTCCTCCTGTGACTCGGCAAAAGCTGTTTCCTCCCTGTGAAATGGGTGTGCCAACACCCTTTCCTGCATCCCCACTGGACCAGAATGTGTAAAGGTGGAACATGCACACTCTGCAGAACCCTGAGGGAATGCCAGGGACCCGACCCTGAAGGCAGCTGGTTGCTCCGGGGCCTAGGGCCAGGTTTTTGTCAATTTCTTCTGCTGCTACAGGTTTGCCAGGAGCTGTAGGGCAAGCAGGGATGCCTGGACCAGCTGGCGCAATTGGGCCCAAAGGGGACAATGGCTCTGCTGGAGAACCCGGACCAAAGGGAGACCCTGGACCAAGTGGTGAGCAACTAAGCATGGCATTCAGATGTCTCCGGGTGGTGCTGCTGCTAGGTTATGCCAGTAGGCAGGCACAGAGCCATCCCAGGGAGCACTGGGCACTGGGTTATTTCAGGACAGACGGGGCCTACTGTTGGGCAGAATGACAATGCCACCTCTCGACCCCTCACCTTATTACGCAGTCCCCTGCCAGGAGGATCCGGTGTCACTGACTGGGCTGGTCCTTTTCCTTAGGACCTCCAGGACTTCCAGGTGTGCCTGGTCCAGCTGGAACAGAAGGTGTCCAGGGCAGGCAGGGGAACATAGGCCCTCAAGGCAAACCAGGCCCAAAAGGAGAGGCTGGGCCCAAAGGTAGGTGGACAGTGTGGCCAGTCTGAGCGGGGAGGGAGGAATGACGATGGCATCCATGATGTGACCTGAGGCACGCTCAGAGTGCCAGGAAGAGCCCAGACCATCAACTCTGCGAAGGCCTTGCCATGCAGCCCTCCCCCACACCTCCACATTCACAGTTTTCTCCTTTTACCCTCCACAGAGGAACCCCAGGCTGCAAGGAGCAATCTCACCACTTCTCTCTCTGACCTTGGAGTTGTGGGTTAAAAGCTGCACTGCTGAGAAAATGATCCCTGCTGAACACACTGTCAGCAGTGTTTATCCCTGTGTGTTCCTTCCCCAGGAGAAGTAGGTGCCCCAGGCATGCAGGGCTCTGCAGGGACAAGAGGCCCCACAGGCCCTAAGGGAGACAGAGGCGCCCCTGGTGAGCGTGGAGCCCCCGGGAATGCCGGGGCAGCAGGTGGGTGATGGCAAGAGCTGGTGCAGGGCTGGATCCAGTTCTCCTGTGCCCACTATCCATGCCCACCCCTGCCACGTGCATCTGTAAAGTCAGAGCTGGCATTGCTGGGCATTGGGGAGGGTGCATACCTAAGGAAGGTGAATTTGGGGGTTCTGGGGACTGTTTGCATCCAGGAAGAGTGCAGGGCTAAGCAATGAGGACATCCGTATACAGGGAAGGTTATTCATTGGGTGATGGGGACAGTTATACTCAGTGGGTGCTGATTGCTAGGGGATAGGGATGGTCAGTGTCCAGAGGGGATGTGGTTGGGCTCTGGGAACAGGCTATCTGTGGGGAGAATGTATTGCTGGGTAATAAGGACAGTCTTTGTCAGGGAAGGTGACAATGCTGGAAAATGGGTACATAGCTCAGCCAGCCCTTCTTTGACCCCAGGGCCTACTGGAGCTGTGGGTGTGCAGGGAGCTCCAGGTGCCAGGGGACCCCCGGGACTGAAGGGGGACAGAGGTCTTCCTGGAGACAGAGGAGCCAAGGGAGAAAGTGGCCTTCCAGGTAAGGTGGCAGCTCCTGGTCCTGGGAACACCCACTAGGCGTGGCTCGGGGGAGAGGAGGCCTCTTCAGCCCAGGACAGCCCATCCTCTGGGATGTGTGCCCCATTAACGACAAGTGGGAGATGGAACTCAGGAAAGGCTGCCAGGCCGGAAGGCAGGAGCATTAGGTTCTGGTCTTGGCCACCTAGTACTCACGGCAAGGCCTGGGCACTTTCTCCATCTGACCATTTGGAAAACTGCAGCTGCCTTCCCAATGCATAGACAGTTTAATCATCAAAGAACCCACTGGATGGGAAACACGAGGAGTGTGTATTCTTGGTCCATACCCGCTCCCCACAAGTGGAGATGCCATTATATTCCCAGACTTTGTCGTCTGGTTCGGTGTCAGTGAGGTACAGAGACGAGTTTTTTGTTCGTAGCATCTTCTACGTCTTTTCTGCACAGCGGCGACCTGTTGTGGCAGCTGTTGTGTTGTTGGTGGGGGCCCCCCGTGTTTTTTCTGCTGGTTGCTGTTCTTTTGTTGCGGCGCCTCCTCGTTGCTTCTCGTCGGTGTTGTGGAGTCTTCTTTGCTCTGTTTTTTTTGTCTGCTGCTGCTGCTGCTGTTCTGCGGCAGGTGGTGGCGGTCCTGGATGAGGTGGTGCGGCTCCTGGTGGCCTTCTTTTCTTATTATAAGGGTGGTTTGTTGGTTGTTCTGCCGGTGGGGGGGCTGCTGCTGGTGGGTGCTTGGTGGTGGTGGTTGTTTTTGTGTTGTTGTGGTGGTGGTTGTTTTTTGGGGGGTGCTGGTGTGCGTGTGGCTGTGGGTCTGGGGGTGTCCCGCTGTGGGGGTGTGTCTGGGTCTGGCTGTGGGTGCAGGGGGGTGTGGGGGTCTGGGTGGTGTGCGGGTCTAGCGGGGGGGCGCCCTGTTCTCGTTTTTGTGGATATATCTCCAGGGGGCGGAGGGGGGTGTGTGGCCCACATCACCAGTTCACCAGCCTGGCAGAAGCATGGCTGAGGCTACCAGGCTCCAGAACACCCTGAAACCTCCGTGCCACCTGTGCCCCAAGACAAACTGATGCCCTGAGTCCAGTGCAATTCAATAGAGCCTCACTCCCATACACTGTGCTGGTCCCTGGGGCAGGCAAGAGGACACTCAACATGGGCTGCATTTCTTACCTCTGTGGGGCCAAGTGTGGAAGTGCCCAGTGACATTGTCACACAGCCAGCCAGGATAGCACAGAGTCCAGTTCCTTTCCTGGGACCTGGGGCTGGGATACTGCTCTGGGGTACAAGGCAGGTGGGGCCTGACCTTGGTGTGTGGCCAGTGAATATCCCACCTTAGACCTGCTCCTGGGTCAAGCAGCAGGCAGGCTGCCTCTGGGCTCCAGTGCTGGGCTCTGCCTGCAGCTCCCGGGGTGTTTAGAGCAGAGATTCTGCCCTAACCCTGGAACCCTGAGGAGTCGGAGGCCTCTAGGAGCATATGCGTGAGTCCACCTCAGTCCCCAACTGCTCGCACTCCTCTGCCTTTCCTGTTGTCATCTGTGAGTCCACAGCCTTCAGGCAAATCTCACTGAGCCAAAAAGGGCAGTTTTCTGAAGCAGTAGAGCATAAAGGGGCTTCCTTGGATAAGACATAGGTAGGCCTGGCTCCTGAGTACCCACATTCAGAGACGAGAGTGTCAAGCATTTGGTGTATCTCCCTCTCTCCATGAACATATTTGTGTATGTGCTCACTGGCTCATAGATGCACTGATGCAAACACAAAGAACACATGCTTGTGCACCCACCACGTGCGTACTTAAATACCACCACTCGCTCCGTAGCCATCTACATACACGAGCTCATATCTACAGGCACACACGAATATGCACATACATCCAGATGGAAGCTAAGTACTCCGGGGGGCTTTTGAATGGAGACACAGGCGTATCCATGTATCCACATGCATAGCCACCTAGGTGCATGCAACATAAACCCAGGAAGGGCACATGAACTCTTGCACCGACCTTGTCCGGGGCTGCTCTGCATGCCACCCTGAGCCCACAGAGAACCTTCCCCCTGAGCCCTTGTTGAAGATGCTCAGAGGTGAAGGACATTGGGTCAGGGTTTAACTTGGACTCCCGCCAGCCCAACAAGGCCAGGGGCATTGCCCTCTCTGGAGTCTGAGGGTCCAATGTCCTTTGCAGATTTCCATGCTTAGGCCCAGAAGCCACAGGGATGGAGAAAATTGGAATACAAAGAGATACTTGACATGTCACACAGGTGATACTTTTGTGAAATGAGCCTTTCCTTTAGAGATGAGGAATCGGAAATCCTGACAAGGGAAGGGTCTTTCTTTGCCCACCCAGACGGTTATTGCCAGGGTGGATCTGAATGCCTGGTCTTCTGATTCCCATCCAGGGCTCTCCCCAGCACAAACCCGACCACTGCCCCCATGCACACATGCCCCTTTCAGATGCCCTCCTCCCCTCCCCCTGCACCTGCTCGCCTGGCTGGGGCATCACCCACGTGCTTGCCAATAGGCAGCGAGCAGAGATGAGCACATGACAGCTCTCAGACACCGCACCCTATCCTCTTCTCTTCCCCCAGCCCGTCACACAGCACAGACCCTGTCTGACAACCCCACGTCTCCTGCTATATATGCCGGGATGACAGTGGGCTGGCTGCATTGTGTTTTCTGTACTCTCAGAAACTGGCCCAACTACATGGTAATCAACCTGAGAAAAGTTGTTTAATTCTACATGGTGATTGAGAAATTGATTCTGGCATACACCTGAGCTGAAATAGAAATAGAAATGTCTGAGCTTTGGTGTCAGACAGCGAGGTTTAATCCCTAACTGCATATTTGATGGTTGCATGATTCTGGGCCTCTTACTTAACCTCTCTGAGCTCTAGTAAATGGGGAACAATAGTACCGTCTTACAGGGGAGCTGAGGCAGTTCTGGAACCAAGTGTCTCACTTGCATTCTCTCTGGTGCCCCGATACCCACCGTATAGGAGGTATAGGAAGCTCAGGTTGGAGTGCAGAGGTCTCCGAGCCACTGAGCTCTGGCCAGGTTCTGCCACAACCCCAACCTGACTCTCCTCTTCTCCTAGTTGAGCTCTTTCCCAATGGCCGAAGTGTAGGGGAGAAGATCTTCAAGACCCTAGGCCTGGAAAAGCCTTTTGAGGATGCGCAGCAGGTGTGCGTACAGGCTGGCGGACAGCTGGCGTCCCCACGCTCTGCGGCTGAGAATGCAGCCTTGCAACAGCTGGTCACAGACCAGAACAAGGCTGCTTTCCTGAGCATGACTGACACCAAGACAGAGGGCAAGTTCACCTACCCCACAGGGGAGCCCCTGGTCTATTCCAACTGGGCCCCGGGGGAGCCCAACAATGACGGCGGGGCAGAGAACTGCGTGGAGATCTTCACCAATGGCAAGTGGAACGACAAGGCTTGTGCAGAGCAGCGCCTCGTGATCTGCGAGTTCTGAGCCTCATGGGGTGGGTGGGGCGGTGCTTGGCCCAGGAGGCTGGCTAGCAAGTCAGTGCTCAGACCTGAGTGCTGCCAACATCCTAATAAAAAGGTGACCGCCTCTGCTGGCCAGGGCTTCTCTACGGAACGCAGCCAAAAGGTAGGGCTACTGCAGAACGCCTCTCAGAGTAAGACAGGAGACTGCCTTCACACACTGGAAGACCTGCCAGGGGAAGAAGGGGCCAGCCTACAATGGCTTTTATCCCCTGCAAGGGGATAAAAAGTAGGTGTCCAGTGACCTTCGTGTCCCCAAATCCAATGACTGCTTTTCAGCCCTCCTTCTCAAACTATCAGCTGCATTCGACCCCGCTGATCACTCCCTCCTCTTTCAAAAACTTCCTCCTCTCAGCTTCCAGGACTCCGCTCTTGCCTGCTTTGACTCTTACCTTATGGCAGCTCCTCATCAGTCCCTTTTGCTTGTCCCTCTTCCTCTACTTGATCACCTAATGGCAGAGTGCCCAAACCTCAACTCTTGGTTCTCTTCTGTCCTTATACTCACTCCAGAGATGAGCTCATCTTGTCCCCTGACTTCAAATTCCTTCTACAGGCTTATGGCTCCCACGTGTATACCCCTGTTCAGGTCTCTCACTGAACCCGGACTCCTCTAGCCAACGCAGGCTACAGCCCCAGGACTGGGTGGTCCCCATGGATGTCTGTTGCTTCAAGGTCTGAGCTCAGGAAGCTGCAGAGTTGTCAGGGTGACCTAGTAGGGAATGTCTACCTCCCCAGCCAGACTGCATGGCTCTGCACCCCACAGACTCTTCCTCATCCCTGGACTGCCCAGGACCTATCTCCATCCCTGTCAATATAACTGCCTCTTGGCTCATGGGAGGAGTATCAGCTGCATAATTCTAAAGCCATCTGAAATCTCAGGGAACTTTGGAGCAAAGGGTGTCTGACCAAACTCAAATTTACCTCCAAACCTTCTCTTGCCTGGTGATTCCAGCTATGTTCTTTCCCACTCTACCTCAGAGATAATCTAGTTATAGCCTCCTTCTCATTTTCCACGTATGGAAACCAAGGCACAGTGTGCGTAGGGGGGACTTGTGCAGGGACACAGGGCATGTCAGCGTTAGAGATGGGTCATCAATAAGGTCATTCTGACCCCGAAGCTTATTTTTTTTGCCTGTAAATATACAGGACAAAGACCCCTGTATATTTAGTTGATTTTATCGAAACACTTGCAAAAATGATTTACACGACACCTGCGTTCAAAAAATGGCAATGGCACCTAAATGAACCACAGCCCTGCAAGAGAGGCAAACAAATACTCGCTCCCCCAGACAGGAAACCAGCCATTCTCCCCTTTGTTGACAGGGACCAGGGGTACTGTCCTTCCTGGACGAGACTCCTCCAAACCCCACCTCTCTTCCCAGCTCTCCTGCAGGCACATTTCATACACAGGACAGCATATCTATAAAACAAAAGCTGCACTTCAGACAGCATGCAGTCCAGGCTCTCTGCTAAGATCTTTCTCTGTCACTAAGAAAACAAAATCCCCAATTCCTGTCAGTTTCTGAAATACAAGCCAATTACACAATAATAAGCAAACAGCTCTCTAGTACAGAGGCCACACCTGGACACACTCATTGAGGGAGCTTAAAAAGGCTTTCTTTTTAAAATTGCAAGTAAGAGAAAACAACTGGACCTAGTTTAAGCCAAAGAGAAATATTTTTTACTAAGAACAGAGGTTTCTGAATGGGCTCAAAAAGGAGTAGGGGAGCATAGGCAATGCCATGCCACCTCCATGGCTCTGCTTCTGTCTGGGCATCTTTGCGTCTTTCTTTCCTTTGCACACCAGATTTCTCTGCTTCCTGGTGTCTTGATTGCTCGAGCATAAGGAATCTTGTCATGGAGACTGCTGCACAGAGATCAGAAACCCTCACCTAATATCAATTAGAAACTCCTGTGGAAATGAGTCCACCTGTCTCAGATGCCCACCCTTGGTCCAATCAACTATACTTGAGGGGTGGGACCACACAGTACAATATGGTCACCAGGATCCATGCAAGGTCATGGTGGTCTGGGCAGACTCTACAAAAGCGTGCATTACCTACCCCAATTCTTAAGCTAAGCCTATTTATTGACAAGGGGGAGGAATGAGTGGCAGAACCAGGTGAAGAGAAAAACATATCCTGTGGTGTTGAAGGCCTGAAATGTTGAGACCCCCAAACCCCAAGAAGAAGCTTCAGATCTGCCAGCACCATGGGGTATAGGGGTCTGGTTGCTCCCCAGCACAGAGAACAAGTGAGGAGGGCCATATGGGCTCTGTAGACACAGCCCGATTAAAGTGGAGGACTGAAGCAATTCATCACTTCAAGTCCTGACTCGCATTTCTGAGCACAGAGGCCTCTCCTGCACTGATGTACACGGGTGAAGGTCAAGACAGATCTCAGTGTCTGCTCTATCTCAGCCATAGCAGCCAGGGTTTAGTAGCCTAGGTGTCAAGTTAAGCCAGGGTGGGTGACTCTCGCACTTTCAGGAGGTGTTATGACCCTAACAATGCCAGGTGACATCATGGCAGGAGACTGAAATCCATCCACGTCTGGAAGAGGGAACTTTCATAGCAGTTTCCTAGGGAAGCCCCTGCTCAGTGTAATAGTGTATTCTCATGTCTCCTCTTGGTTTCCACGTTTGGTTGGAACAAACCAATTGGTTTCCAACAAACCAATCCACATCCCATGATGAACAGCCAGTGGGGAGCCCTGTGATGTTTGCTTTTCCAGGACCCTATCTTTGTTCTGAATCTTCCTGCTGTACAACATTGACAATTGAGTTGCTTAAGTTCAGAGCATTCTCAACCACTCTCACCTTCCGGATGTTCACTTTAATCCAAGTTTAATGATGTGCTTGATCTGTTTAAGTTACCTACGTTTTATATACTAGAGCAAAGAAGCTGGGTATCTATTAGTGGAAATACAATATTAATTTATATGTCAAATATTTGTCCAGGCACTGGACACAAAGATGGAAATGGCTAGCCATGCCCTCATAGATCCAGCAGCCCTGCACGTCCCTAGCATTACAGAGAAGTAAGTGGTAAGATTGTGTCCCAGCAATGGACAAGAGAGGTTCTCAACAAGTGGATATAGAATGAATAGATGGATTATAAAAGCTTTCAACCAGGAGAAGAGAAGAGAGCCATCTCCTTGTGCAATCACCAAGCCACTCAGAGACCAAGACACCCTTTATTACTGTCCACTCTACTTGTCTGTGACTATTAGGCCTCTGTATGGGTGATAGCAGGCATCTTATGGTAGGTTTTACTGTTTTTCACCAGTATTTGGATGAGAGACCTTTTGAAAGTAGGCGTGATCCTGTGCTGTGGGTCATTTATGGGTGGAAGCAGACAAGGGCAAGTGCACATTTCTGCACCTTCTCTTCTGCTGCCATGGTGATTGCAGGATTGGTGGATATAAAGCTGTACGATCTGGCATTCTGGAACCCTGAACAAACGCATGGGAAACAACTGACCTTGGGGATCACCTGGGTCCACTTGGACTCTGAGTGATATTGGGGGCCGTTACCGCAGCGCCCACAGCCCATCTTTACTGGATACATTTAGAATTATCATGTTTGACTTTCATTTACTCAAGAGCCTGTGGGCTCTCTAAGACTGCCTGGCTGGAACGCCGCTGGGCCACAGAGAGGGACTTTTGAGGGCCTTGCATGAGCAAACTGGTACTTTTTAAAGTCCTGTTTGTAGGGCTGAATAAAGTGTTTTTAAGATGTCTCCACGTCCTTTGATCCAAGGAAATTGCAGTGACCTTGCTGCCAGCCCTTCTGCATATTTATTTTTAATTCCCCTAATACTTCATTTCAGGTGTAAGTGGCTGGGGCCAGGCCAGGGCTGAATGGTCAGGTGGCAACTTCAGGCCAAGCTAATACTTTCTGAGACCAGAGGGATAGATGAGGGCAGGAAGGGGAGGATATAGGTGGTGGGCTTTGGGCAAGCCTGGGATGCTTGGCCGCTGAGTGGAGAGACAGCCTGAGAGAACAGAAAGAGGGATGGGAATTGTCCAAAGAATCCAGAAACTTACTGCATTCCCTATAAAATGCTCACAGAAAAAAAAAAAAGAGAAAGTGATTGAAGCTGCGAGGACTTCATAAAGTGACTTTAAAGCTCTTATGAAAAAATGAGTCCTGGAAGAGTCAAGAAAATTGCTTAAAATAACATAATATAATTAAAATGGACTTGGGTTTTATAAAACTGGCATAATTAAAATACTGTATTAATGACATAGGAATAGACAGAATAATGAAAAATAACAGGAAGTCTAAAAATGGGCTCAAGTATGTGTCCATACACATATATATCATATACACACAATAAAAATAGAATACCAAAATTATAGGAAGACAATGACTTGTCAATTAATAATGCTGAGTTAAATGGTTAAGTATTTAAAAGAAAAGAGAAATCAGATTTTTTTTTTTTTTTTTTTAAGAAACAGGGTCTTATTCTGTTGCCTAGGCTGGAGTGCAGTAGAGCAATTACAGCTCACTATAATCTTGAATTCCTGGGCTCAGGTGAACTCCTGCCTCAGCCTCCTGAGTAGCTGGGACCACAGACATGCACCACTATGCCTGCCCAATTTTTTTTAAAGAATTTTTTTGTAGAGATGGGGGTCTCATTATGTTGCCTAGGCTGGTCTCAAACTCCTGGTCTCAAGCGATCCTCTCACCTCGGCCTCCCGAAGTGCAGGGATTACAGGCATGAGACACTCTGCCCAGCCTAGATTCTTTTAATTACATATACAAATCAAAATTAGAAGAAAATATAAATAATGATTTACTTGGTCTTGGAGGGATAAAAGAGCTATCTGAGAATGCTATTAGAGAGGGAAACCCAAAATGATAATACTGACACATCTGACTACATAAGAAATTCTCTGCTGAAAAGTAAAACGCAACAGGAAAAAAAAAGCTGATGTATTTGTAATGTACCTAACAGATAAATAAATAAGAAAATGATTAATATCTAAACAGAAAAAAATGGAATAAGAATGGGAAGAGGAAATTCATAAAATAAGAAATACTAATGACCAATAGTACTGAAACATGAAAAA